CAGAGATAAAATGAAGGTGAATAAAAGACAGTTCTGAATGTCAAATAGCTCGCTCCGCCAGTGCAGACTACAGCGCAGTCTTGAAATCGCACTCAGCCACAAACTCGGCCAAGGACATCCGTCTCGCGCACGTGGCTCGCATCTAGCAACTCTTCCTTCGACTTTTGACTTGTCCACAACCAGCGACTATCGCCAGAATATGGTGAACCAAGACCCGCGTAACGCACATCAAAGTCTAATAAACCGTCTCGACGTGCCATACCATCCGGCTTATGAGAAAGAGGGGCCAACTCCTCAGAATTGTCTTGGGTGAGACCTCCTGACAGTCTTTGAAAAAGTCGCTGCCTCCAGGGACAGTTAGCATCTTTTCGACGGTCTCCGCGGCTGAGGATATCGCGTTTATTTGACTTTGGACCTTTGGGCGAGTCCCGAATTGGGTTCCTCTCTGGCGCTGCCTGCAAGGAATGCAAATTCTATCGCCTGGTATCGAGATACTCTCGGAACCGAGCGACTGCACAGACATTGATCCAATTATTGGAAGCAACCGTGCGAGACCAGGCGGGTGCGGACTTGACAACATTTTCTCCCCCCATTGATGCATCAGCTCCAGAAAATTCGGTTACACACGATGCCCGATATTCGGACTGTCAGCAGAAAAGTCGAAACAATCCAATATCAATCGCCCCTTCAACAACGTACAAGACCGCACTGAAACTCGCTAAACATACACACAGCCGTGGTCACCATCCTGTCTCTAAGCCTCAAGGACTTGCCCCGAGATGACCTATAACATTACCCCAGAAAAATCAGCCCAGAACGTGCCAACCATATCTGCAGCAACCCACCTCCTTGCCAGTCTTCTTGATCTTCTCCAAGACGGTATCATAAGGTACACCACCAGTGACCTCTACTTCCTGCTTATCCAAACGGACGTCATATGTGATTCCTGACCGTGGCAGTGAGTCAGCTTTTGCAAAGGCGACCGATGCAGGGATCTAGACGCACCGTCTACCTTGGACAGCGCCTTGCTTACGGCCCCTGAGCAACCACCGCAAGCCATCTAGGAGGAGGGACGAGTTGGTCACTGCCTCGCTCCTTTGTATTGCAAACTTACCTTGACGTTGAACAAATACTTGCCCTGCCAAAGGATATGATCAACGTCCTTGTACTTTGAGTGACGAATGTCTGCTCACCATTGCAGATCTAATAAGATAGAGAATTAACTGTTGTTACGAACGGGTTCTGAGTTGGTTTGTGCTGTCCTTGGACGCGGGGCAGAGCTCTTATAATGCGGCGGCTGCTGCTGAGTGAGGCTGATGCATCTAATCGCGCAATCGAAAGGCTGTTCGCTTTGCTGACGGAGGTTGCCGACTCAGCTCATCGTCTTCCACAATCTCACGCAGGCGGTCAGCACTTTCTCCAACATCCCACGCATGCGGCGCGCAACTGGCCAGAAGTGCCTCGAACGAGCTGGTAGAGAGTGGACCGACGACCTGAGGAATTGACACTGGGTTCTCGAGTGGGCAAGTCATATTTGCCAGATAACTCCAGATAATCCTCATCTTCGAAATCTATCTACTCGTTACCTTACTCACTTGATCAACTTGTCGATGCTGTGGAAGACTACAAGGAGGAGAATGGTCCCAAAACTACTGGACTGCGTGATTCCATGTCTTCGCAATACAGCTAACAGGCTGTGCAGGACAGCCAGAGTGGGCTCACTTCAAGTAGAGGGTCGTAACACTCTACAACTCAAAAGATCAGAAACGCGATCAGGTGAAGGCGATGAAATATTGGATTCCTTTGCCCCCTCGGACGACACCTAGTTACCAGATGACAAAACGTCGACTACTCTCGTAGGAATGTGGGGAAACGCGACACGTCTACCTCGCGCTTGGTTAGTACGTACCCCCCTCCAGGGAGTTGACAGATCGATATCAATGGAGTGCCACCAAAAGGTACCTATCTCCTATCATCGACCATTTCAACTTCATCTCCCTCAGTGGACACCGCTTGCCAGCCCGCTGTCGACGGCGATCCACGTATCCGAGAGAGACAAGACCCGAGGTAACCTACGTTTGGACATTTCATCATTATTGACTGCATTTTCAAAGGCAGCGATGGAACGATGGTGGCTTACCTAGGTAAAATGGTAGTTTGGCTTGTTCATCCTTGTTTGTGAGGTAGTACACTGGTATACCAGCCAGCACGAAGCCTATCGTTGGACAGTAAGTAGACCTCCTTTGTTCCAATAAAAACATCGTCACCTAGGACAGCCATAGCTTCGAGAGGAGCAGCGATGACAGGCATGCAAAGCAAAAATAGCGCAACCGCGCAGAAAATGAGGGGCGTCACTATCCATGTTTTATACGGCCTAGAATGATTTTCAACCAGTTTCATTCAGAGCTGTGAATACGATCAATGACACAAAAAAGCAAACCCACCTAGGAAGATGCGGCTCTTTCACCCTCAATATCACCAGCCCAAGTACCTTTCCCAGAATTGAGCACCTCCAAAAGACGAAACGAGATAGGCATAATGACGACGTACAGTTAGAAAATAAAACGACCACGACGCAACAACCGAGAAATTGATCAATGATCTAAATCCACCGCCAACGACAATAAACGCAATCGTCATGCTCGCCTGCAAAAGCAAGGCATTCAGAGGTGTCTTGCGAGATTTGTTCAGTTTCCCGAACATGGCAGGTAGATAACCTTCACGCCCCGCCGCCTGTACGAGTCGTGCCGAGGTGAAAAAGGAACCTGTAAACTTTTGAGCGGAAGCGATTGCTGCAACGGAAAAAGGCAGCCTTACCGTTCAGAGCACCGAAACAGGACACTGCTACCATTACAGCAAACACCACGCCTCCTATTGGCCCAAAGAGTGCACGACCGAAATCTAATGCCACGGTGTTACTCAGTCCGACCGTAGCTTTGTCCAACACCACGAAATAGGACACATTTGCAAGTATGAAGAGGACCTGTTGGGAAGTCAATTGTTCGTGTGACAAACAACACGAGGGAGGTACGCACAATGACGATAGCCATACTAGAGTGGATTGCCCTTGGTATATTCTTTTCCGCGTTGTGCATTTCTCCCCCTACATAATTGGCTTGATCCCAGCCATCAAAAGCCCAAAGCCCGGAATAGAGCGCGAGAGAATAAGCAGATGGACTTTGACTCGAGTCATCAAATAAAGGTTCTCTAAAGGACTCCGAAGCTCTCCCTCGAGCTAATTGTATCAACCCCAACACAGTGATAGAGATCTAAACCTCGATCATTATGACGTACTGTTCGAGGACAAGGCACGACATACCAGTGCAGATATCTACCAAACAACCGTATTAGGTATCAGCACCATATAGATAAAATTCAAGAACGCCACGCGAATACATACCTTAAGAGTCGTAAACACCACAGCAGCACGCGTCCCCAAGTTCCGCGAGGCAGCACACATAACGGTGACGAGGAGGACTGCTATCACCGCAGTGAGTTTGATAGCCCATTGGGGTATATCGTCTGGCGATACCTGGTCACGGGTGGTATGCCACATGAGTCGGTTTAGGTATTCGGCAAAGATGAGGCTGATGACCGCGTTTCCGCCTTTTAAAATACGGTAATGAGCTCGTCGATGAAAGGGGTGTCCGAGACTCATAGAGACGGACCAGGTCTAAGTGCGGATATCGCTGTCCAGGCGAACAGATAGGATAGAAGAGGTCCATACGCATACGCGAGATAGGCTTGAGCTCCGCCGTTAAGCGGGATGCTGGACCTAGATAGAAGGTAAGGAGAACATCTTCGTGCTCACGCAGTAAAATCAACATACCCTAATTCTGCAAAACTACTGGCACCCGTCCATCCAAGCAACCCAGATGCAAGCCATACTGCGAGGCTCGCGCCAACGCTGTGGGTATTCGCAACTACCACTCCAGGGGAAGAACTATATAACGGGACGTTCCTCAGCAAGACTCGGAGCTATGGATCAAGGAAGTATCCTACAAAATTCCAGAACCAATCTGAGGTGAGTAAGGGTTACTCGTTCGTAAACGTTCGAGCAAACGCGTCCGATACACTCACCTGCAGTCCCACCACTAATCCAATGCCTAACACACGTGTAGCAGCGTCCTGAAACTCAAAAAAAAAAAGACAAAAGAGCGTACCATGTATAAGACTGATATCCTTTTCTGAACCCTCCAAAAACGCAGAGTCCGGCTCACTTATACTCGCGCTGAGTGGTAACAAGTCCATCTGAAAATCAAAACCCGTAAAAGAGAAAGATCTTGGCCTGCTTCGTCCTCCGGCCGTCATTGGACCGTCAGAAAGCTCGAGATTTCGCAAGGATTCGGTAGAGTCATTGGATTGACGGGTTGCAGCCAGAGGGTAGTGCTCCGAGGATGATTTGAACGAGTCGGGAGGCGTGAAGTCGCTGCCAGAAAGAGGCATTCAATATTGAATAGTGATGGACTGAGGTCGTGAAAATGTCGTTGGAATCGTGTCCTGTCAGGATGTACGTTGTGGGTGATTCCACGGAAGATGGTGTAGTGGTGCGGTAAGTATACGTATAGTATAGCGAGCGCAAACACAATGACAATAGTGTTCTTTGTATCTCACCATTACGCGACTTGGATTCCATGTCTGGGTTCTAAGACAGTTCTGCTTTTATTCATACTGTATCTACGCAGCCTTCGTTCTCGAGCCAGGATGTCGCCACCAAACACCCATGTTGCACGATGCGCCGATCTTCGAATTGAGGACACAGCCAATGCCCCGGGCCACACTCGATCTAACAAGACTGGCTCAATGACTACTCGTCGCTGGTCACCCCCTTGTCTGTAATCCTGCTAGTAGGCCCGTGCCAATGAGCTTGACTTTGGATTCGGTATACTTCACCATTGGATGGACAAGCGAACGACCCAAACACAAGTCATACCGAATGCAAGAGACAACGGTCACTCAAAACTCACAACATGACTACATGAAAGAATCCAAAATACAACTCGGATATGGTGTAACGGCTAACATTACCGCCTCTCACGGTTTCAACAATCGGGTTCGCGGTAGCTCGGGGTTCGATTCCCCGTATCCGAGTAACTTTTTGACTATGTTTTTTATGTTTTGTTACATAGGACTTGGATGTTGAGGGCAACATAATTGAACATCGGGCCCATCATAGCGTTCGGTACATACTTCCACAAGTCGGCCTTGGTATTTCCGAATCCAATGTCGTAGACTGATTGTTTTCACAACGAAACGTTGGAACCGTTCATCACATAAAAACAAGAAATAGAATGACAAAAGAACAAAGTTGCAAGCGAAAAGTGTAGTATGGTCTCCTCACACTAAAACCAGCTGTGCGCGAAATAGAAAAAACGAGTCATAGTCCGATGCAGCGAAGATGGAGGGGAAAGGGGGGAGAGGTGGGGGAAACGGGCGACGGCGTACGGACTAAAAGGAATTGCGTAGAGAAGGAGAAAGAGAACAAGACACAGAGATGTGCGAATGTAGTACCTGCTCGCAGACGGACATAAATACCAGGGTGGGTCTCGAATGCGAGCGTAAATAGTACGAGAAAGAAAGAAAGGAACAAGCGATCATAGACAGTGTACGAAATGGAGAAAAAAAAACGTAATCGTGAATGGCGGTGGTGGAACCGTCCATCATGTGTGCGTGTATATAGTCACAGATGAGGATGGAGGACAGAGTAGTTTGCACCAACTCCTCCTTAATTGCGATTGAAAATAGTCAAACAAATGGAGCGTTGGATGCGGTCGATTGATTGGCTATATAGGTCGGTGATATCTTGATGGAAAATGAAAGATGTTTTGGATGCTAGAATCGGTGGATGATGATGATTGGCAGTGTATGAGAGATGTCGTGGCAGCGCCAGGATGGTGGACTAAACCGTCTGGATCGCAAAGACATGGCGCATAACAAGCGTACAGATCGAACATGCCGTGACGAGACGTGATAGTTCTTGAGACCGTAAGCAGTCGAGATGGAAGGTCGTCTAGAGAGCGTGGGCTTGGTATTCATCGAGCAAGTCCCAGGTAGAAAAAGTGATACTGGTCGCCTTCGGAGCCAGCAAACGCAAAGAGATCGAACTAAAAGCAGAAAGGAGCATAACACCGCCCATCCACATCTAAGCACACGGCAGCCGAAAGCAGAAGCAAATTAAATGAAAAGGCGGAAGTGCAAAATCAATACCCAGACAAGCGGGCGGCATCAAAGGTCTCCGCTCTGGCGATAGGCGCACGACCGAGTTTCTTTGCTTTCGACAACACAACCTTAGTGGGAGGCGGGCATGGGCTATCGCCGATATCAGTTTCCTCGTCGTCGGTCTGGGTGATGTTGCCTATCTCGGCGAGGGTGGAAAGACCATTACGACGGGTACGGGCAGCGTTGGCAGCTGCGAACAACTGCGGGGCACCAGCCGGGGCAGTGTTGCGCTTCGGTTGCTGTTGTTGCGTGATACCTGTCATCTTGGAACCCAAGTCCCCATATGCATACGACTTGGTACGACCAAACTTAGCCTTGCGGAATTGATCCAGATCCTCGCGACGAGAGAGGGCGTGATTGGGGTCGTCCATGGTCACGTAGCCTTGAGGTTCGCAGCGGAAAGAAGATTGCCTGTAATATTCGCAATACCCACCTTCCAAGATGTAGACCTCGGGGTAGTGGATCCTGGGGTACATATGGTTGTTCGTAGCACGATCCTTGGAGCGCAGATGTTTTGCGCTAGTGTGTCGGTCAGTCAATTAAAAAACACTGCAGCGGGGAAAGCATTACAAAGTCGGAGCTCTCTTGGCGCTGAACTCGCAATGGAATACCAATACCGTTTTCCTTGATGAATCACCGCTCACACATGGCCTCGGCTTGTTAGCACCTAGGAGGAATTCTTCTACGCCCGAGGTAGTGTTGATGTTGACTGCACCGGGGATGTGGCCACCATTGTACTCGTAGTCAAAGCGACAGTCGATGATGTGGAACTCAGCGATTTGGTTGTCGTAGGCACCGTCCAATAGAGCATCAAGCTGCACGTTCTTGAGTCAACGTTTCTGGTACGTCAACTGCCGAACACTTACGGTCTTGGGAACAATCCTCATCAAACCATCCTCACGAACGCGATGGCATGGCAAGATTTTACCCAGAGTTTCATTGTCACCGAATCCAGGTAGACCGACATTCATGAATTTAGCAGAGGGGCTCTCGGACGCGTCCTTCTGAACCATCGTGGTCGCACCCGTGAGAGGCCTGAAATCTTCAGTACCGTCACGTCGACGGATAGTCTTAACTTGTTGACGCTTGGTGTAAGCCTGAGCAGGGGAAGACATGTCCGGGCCGTCAAAAGAAGACTCATCAGACAAATGCTCGAGACCAGTGGGCGGAAGCATTGCAGAAACGGCCCGACGAGCAGGACCAAGCTTCGGAACCAGACCCTGCAGCCGCGGGGAATCGTCCGACTCGACAGCAGGATATGCAGACTCGGAGTTGTCCTCGGCAGGTTGAACGACGGCAGAAAACACTGGCCTACGAAGTCGCTTGTTTCCATTGGAAGGTACGCCTAAGCCCTGCAGTCCTGGTTTTGAGAAGGCAGCTAACAAGGAACCACTCGCTATGCGCTCGAGCTTGTGCTGTGAAGGCGAAGAAGGGGCGGGTGAGGATGGACCCTCCGGCTCAACGCGGGATACAGCCTCAGGTGAGAACGAGCGCCTTTTCTTAGGCTGGGGTGCACCGGGAGAATTGAAGCTAGAAGGGGACATCGTACCGTAGAAGAGGTTGTTGAAGCCAGTGATGGTGGGAGCAGCCGAAAGTGGTGGGGAGCTTAAGAGATCTCCAGTAGCAGCCAGGGGGGCGGGGTCCACGTCCATTGCGTCTTCGAGGCCAGGAGAGGACGGAGCTTCCTGAGGCTGACGGTCCGGATCAGCCACACTGGTTCGGACTGCTAGTCCAGATTGGAATGCGCAAGACTCACTGGAGCAAACATGTTTTCGTCCATGGTCTTGGCAGGTTTTAAAGAAGCGGCCATCCATTCGGATGGGAGAGCACTGCGCTGCGTGCGCTTGAGGATAGACTGAGTACCAGACTTTGCATCTGAAGAGGGAGTATCGTTTGAAATGTTGCCATTGCTCATGTCTTGTCCAAACATGCGTGCAGCACTGGTAAACGCACGAGGACGATTGGCTGGCCTACTGGTACGATCATTCTCCTTCTGAACGATCTTGACCGGTGCAGGGGAAATGTCCATTGGCTCATCCTGCACACTTTCAGGGTCGAGATTGACGTAGTCGCGTGAGGGAGAGTTGAGGGACATTGTAGAAGCGAATGAGAGCTCCAGGTCGGACGACAGGAATTCGTCGATGTCGTCGCGAGGTTTGGGAGGTTGGGAGCGTTTGCGTGAGGGCGCGAGAGGCGCGCTGATATATTGGGAAGAGGCCGAGGAAAGAGTGGAGAAGAACGTCATTTCGGATGGTACGTAGCTGTACTCCTGATGATGATGTGTTTTGGGTTTCTTCTTCGCGTGATAATCTGTAAGTCGTTTCATGAAGGCGGTAGACATGACGAAGCGCGTCGGGGAAAGTTATACAAGTGGTACAACAGTCGAAATAATTGAGTTCAATAAACAAGTGGGGATGTTGATCATACAAGTTGCAGTGATGGTGTGGTCGTACAGCGCGACGATGAAAGTGTCCCAAGTAAAAGGATACAGTCAGTCGTCGTTGTTGAGGAGAGAGTGGAAGTTGAACAAAAATGTGGAATAAATACCAACCGAAATGTGGCCCAAAAGAGCTTGGTCGTGACCGGCGTGTTTATTAAAAACAACTGGCTGTTAAGAAGTTAGACACAGTGATGGGTATGCTGTGCCAGAGAAATTGGACAAAGAAAACTTTGTGAAAGACAGAGGACGAAAGACCATTGTTCACCGAACGTGGAGGTCCCGCACATAGCAGCCTCGTGATTCTCGCTTAAAGCAAAACCACCCGTCCACAGACATATGTTTCGAGCGGGGACTTACCTAGAACGTAATGAGTGTCTTGACGGAGGAGGCCGCACCTGGAGGAAAGAGAAAGGATAGCTCGAGGTTAGCTTGGATTATTTGCCAGCGAGTCGTTTAGAGAAACAGCGCTCAGAAATAATCTCACGGGAAACTGAACCAGTGTATGTAACCGGACTCAAACTTTGTTGTGGACGTTTGTGGGTCCACGTTCCGGCCCCTGCCAAAATAAGTCAGCCGCGCGCTTCTCTCCATCATATGCACCCCACAACTCACCTGAAAGTGTTTTCCAAGTTAAAATTGGTATAAATGTCCAAAATTCGAAGGATAGATATGAAAGACGCGGTATCCAGTCCGTACAGTCTTTGCTAGCAAGAGGTCGGAATCCAAGGTCGTTTGTTTGGGCGTTCTTTGGTTCAAGTTGACTTTCGTCACGTGCATTGTCTTTTGTTCTGCCCGAACCGAGCGCACCATCGCCATGGCACAACTGCCCTTTATGGAACCGACGCCGACCGACGCGTCACAGGCCAATTTCGCAATGTACATCGGTAAGAGCAAATATGCATCTATTGCGTCCATGGACATCGCTCTGTAAAAATACTAACGCCTGGAAATGCAGTGAACGCCTAGTCTAGGATCCACCTCCTCTAGACCAAGGTCAAACTATAACTGGTCTCTTGACCAGCGATGAACGAGGATCACCGACATTCACCTCCGACCATCTACAAGTACTCATCAGCCTGCAGACGACTTTTGTCAATCTTATTCACGTACGGCACGAAGACAGTCTCCAACTTTTCATGGTGAATCTCTGGGTATTTATCCGCAATGATTTTCATGATCGATTCGAAAACAATCTGCCGGGAAACAAAAGCATCAGCATCAGCAGCACAAACACAACGCGATCGAGCCTCACATCATATCCCGCTGCATTCAAGTGAAGACCATCGTAGAGGAACTGCTCGCAGGCCTTCTCCTCCCGACCCGCAGCATCAAAAATCTCTGTCCATATATCCGCTACTGGCACTCCAACCTCCGCCCCTACCTCTTTCACTGCATCCGCATAAGATCGTGTCTCATCAAAGTTGCGTCCCTC